ATGGTCCAGGGACCAGGTTAATGGTCTGGGGCTCTAGGTTGGGGCAGGCCGATAATCAAAGGGGAGGAGTAGAAATAGTTATCTTATTTCAAAGAGATTCAATTTCTAATGACAACTAACAAGTTGTTTTTGACGTATATTTGTGGGTATTTAAAAATTGTAGGCATCTTTAAAAAACTGCATAGGATATTGAACCTTTAATACCTCTTATAGTTTTATAGTCAGATTTAATATCACTCTAGGCGAGATTCTCCAGATGTCCTTTAATATCGAACCATACAAAAAACGGTTTGTAACGCCCCTTTTTGTATGGCGACCCTAAGTCCCCACTTAGAGCGTTAATTCAATAAAGTCTGATTTAAGCCCCTCTTCCACCAGGTTAACAAAGAAGAAACATCCAAGGAAAGTGAAAGAGAACGACAGAAGACCGCTGCTGAAGAAGGAATCAATCCAGGAGCTGCAGCTGGACCTGGATTTGAGCACTAAGATATTGTAACCAACTGTGATATATTTTACTTCTTGATATTATTTATAAGCAATGTTATCTTTAGTATTATTATGCAAAATATATTTATAGATATCAAAAGACATATCTCTTGTTTTATTATTAATGTTTTCCCACTCTCTTGTACTGTCTTGTCTTGCATCCAAGCTACTGGTAGTGCTAACTGGCACGCAAGTATCTAGTACGGTATTGTAGAAGTAACTATTAGTAAAAAATCTACGAGTATACTAATATAAAGAAGACAGATTTGTATTTTTGTATGCATAGAATTAAATCAAAATCCATTGGGTTGATTTTGAACAATCCTTTCGTCATTACAAATCTAATAAAAGCGCCAAAAAAGGCTACATTTCCTTATTTCACACGGACAAAGTCGCGAGCAAAAGCTAGTTGTTAATGGATGAGTAAAAATGGGGTACACAATGTAATAGAAATCAACATTAGTTACTTTATTTTAATAAAATAATATACAAACTTCACATTTATTTACTTAGCGTATACTAAGTTATATGAAAATAGTGTTGTAGATATAAATAAACATAATATTCTTTTATTAATAAGCTATAAAGCTTAGCAAGGGAATTTTAGCACATTTGTACATAGATTAAGATTTTTTTCAAAATATAATACTGACTGGAAATAAATAAAAAAATAATGCAGACGAAGAGTCGGTAAAAAGTCGGTCAAGAAAAGAGTAACTCTTTAATAAAAAAATACATTGAAAACAACGAAATAAAAAGAGAAAATCGGGCATACGTAATAGCTTATTTATGTATTAAATTACACTAATGCAAAACAAAATTAAAATAAAATCAAATGTATACAATTTCAGTTGTATAACTTCATATTTATCTGTGTTTTAATTGTTCACATAGAACAGTATTCGAAATAAGCTGACAAAACAGACAAGCTTTCACATAAGTATAATTGAATTTGTTCTTAATAATTCGTAACAATTATTTACACAAAAGGCGTTGCGAACATCTGTGGAACTCAATGTTGCCATCCTGAAAATACAAATTAATAAGTGTGTTTGATAAGCATAATTTAAATATTTGTATATTAATTGTTGTGCATTAAAATTTAAACAAATAAGTGTGAATAGATTTAAGCAGATCGCTTGACTAAAAAAAAAAAAGCTTTCGTTTGATAGTCAATCTTACTAATAAAATGTAAACACTCGCTTCTTTGTTATGTAGGATGTCAGCAATCACAGTAGATTTTTACATGTTTCTTTTAAATAAAATAGCCCTACACTTGGACACGCTTTAGACTATATATTTTCACGCTTTTAAACTAAGCGGGTAAATGAATTGGAAAAACTCTCATATGAGAAAAACCTACAAGCCAATAGGTGTAAAGCAATATTGCCATGGCAACTGTAATTTTTAGACATTTGTGCATTTGAATATTGACATTTACAATCAAAACCTTTTACAAATGCAAACAAAAAAATAAAGTTTTTATAACTTCAAGTGGATGAAGCCGCATGAGAACAACAAGTTAATAAGATAATTACCAGGGCAAATAGCTAGGAGCGCAGTGCTTCAAGGCGGGATTGCATCTCGTCCAACTCCGTCTCATCTGGCTCGGCTGGCTCGCGGCTGGTGGAGGGCGCTCCCACCGCACTTGGGGGCGCCGGTGCTTCGCCCAACTTGCCTTGTGTTAGCTCCCACAATACCTGGAAACAACATGTTGTCATGAAGCAAATAAACATAGGGCCCTTCAAGCCAGCAACGCATCTGTAATTTATCTATGATTAATTGTGCAAGTTTTATCCATCAAAAAAAAAATAACAACCAAATTCTCCAGTTGTTGCATAGTGATTCATAGATTAATTAAAAAATGCAAAGACTTATCTATATCTTTACAACTTGTAAGAATTTTTACCTTGTCAACTTCACTCTGCGCCGCTTCCTCCATTTCCTCTTCATCCTCTACTGCAGACATAGTCTCATCCAGCATCTCCTCAATGATACCAGCACGCATCATCTCCTTGCTCATCTCCTGCATCGTCTGCGCCACTTCTGGTAACCTTATTAGAGCTTGCATTGCTTGCATCACCTGGAATTATATGTTGCATATTAATAATATTATAAATAGGAGAGTTTAGATAGATGGCCGATAACAGGTAACTCTAAAAAACTGAATTGGTGTGAATGTAATTTGGTAATGAGATAAACTTATCTCAATATCTAGACTCTTATATCCAGTACCAAGACACAAAGTAGTTTGGAATACCACATATTCTACTCATTATATTTTTTTTATTGTATGCAGAAGAAATCGCAAAATCTAATCATACTAATATTATAAATTGCGAAAGTTTAGATTGATGTTTGTTAGAGTTTGTAGCCTAAACGCCTGAACGAATATTGATGAAATTTGGTATAGATGTAAAGAATAGTTGGGAAGAACACATAGGCTACTTACTTTTGTTTTTCTTTAATTCCATGCAGACAGAGTCGTGGGCGAAAGCTTACAAATGAATCAATCTAGTTTAAACTAAAAGTAATTTGTTTAGAGAACATAAAAATGGATAGCATTAACAATTGTTCTATGGCTTTTTATAATGATGATAAGAACTTGAAAATATGTTCTAATTTTTCTTTTTATGTCTGACATAAATCCCTCAGTTTAGGAATCACATTATAAATATGTGATCAATTATCAGTTTTTAAATAGAATTAAAATGTTAACTATACCTCTGTTGACTTCTGCAATGATCCAGCTATCCTTAATGTAGCTGTAACATAAAAACATATGATAAGAAATGCAATATGTTCACTAGCTAAGATGCATGGTTTCAGCTACACTACGACAGAAGTTGTGTATTATATAGTCTGTAACCTATCTTTATGTGCAGTTCACTTGGCTTGTACAGTTGGTCAGTAGCACTCAATAACTGGACTGTCAATAAACTGTGTGAGGACTGTCCCTAGTGAGTCCATATAATCTATGATTGATTGCCACAACTATCCAACTGTACTGGCCAAGTGTGAACTGCAGATATTAGTTTAGCTTATAAAAGTATTACCCATTGAACCTTATCATATTGAATATTGAATCTTTCCAATAGGAAAAGAAATTCCTGTTGGGCCGATTAAGCAGAGGGACTAATGGGGGACACATGGCCTTTCAAAATTAAAATATTAGATTGTAGTTTGACATTACCTAATTGGTTTTTCATCTGCATCTGTACAGAGTTAAGATGGGCTTTACTTGTATATATTTTACTAATAGCTTTCCTTGACCTAATTATTTCCTTTGCTAATATTGTACACACTTGCTTATCATTTTTTCCTGCAGCTTCTTTTAAGGATCTTTTAATTTTTTCCTCTTCCCTTTGAATTGCTAAAATGAGAAAAACAACCTTACGATTTAATCATTGCTTCATTGACTTATAACGTTTTTTTCCATAAGTAGCATTTTATTAACTTACCTCTTATTTGCCTATCCAAATTATAGCCTTCTTTGCGAAGTTTATGACACCATTCGTTTACCTAAAATTTATTTTTTGATTACAAATGTAATTAAAAATTCTCAACAATATATTTTTGTTTTAATATATTCACCATTTCTTTCGGATTTCGCTCCGGAGATTTACCAAACAAGCCCATCTTTGCGATATTCTTAAAATTAAATAAATATAAATACGAATTTCTGTTTGGGTAAATCTGACGTTAATTTGACATTGACAGAAAACAATGATGACCTCATTGATGTCTCATCGAAAAAGCAGGTGGCTTTATTTAATTTCTTTGATCGTTGAAAATATTTTACGCTGAAAAAATATATCAATAACAAGTATTCATTCTTAAGACAAATGGGTTTCTATATTTTGTCAAGTTTCTTTTCCATAAATCATACTTGTTCTGAAACAAAAGGGATCAAAGTAGTCCAATAAGATAACGAACGATTTCGTTTTCATACTGGCAATGATGATCAATTTACTGTCATTTGCGGGAATACAAAAGTGATATAAAAATTACTTTTCGGTGCTTTTTGTGTAAAATTATTTTTTCAAAGAAGTTTAATTACTAATGACTAATAAACAAAATAGTTAACTATCGACACCACGGTTTGCGTGAAGGGCACGGTTACCAGTGAAGCTTTATAAATAACCAGGTAAGTTATTTTGGACACTTTTAGTGTTTACAATGTTGAAAAGTATTTCTAACGCTGTGGTTATTAATAGGACAACACGGTTATTAATTCAACGTTATATGAACGGAAGACAATGTCGTATATTACTAAGAAATACAATTTAGTCATACAAAATGCTTCCTTTAACATATACAATTTTTACTGAGCGTCAGTCGTATACCTACGCCGAAAAATATAATATAAAACGTTAACCATCGAAAACCTTACTTTAATGTAATTTTATTTTAGTAATACTTAACAATAGCAAATGATACCCAAATTTGATAGAATTCCGACCCCAAAAAAAACTTATGAGATCATTACCTATCATGTAAAGTAAATTTAATAAAAATCCGGCATGATTCACTATTGTAAAGTATTCTCTTTTAATGTATTCTCCCATTCCATGCATTTATTTCAAGTCTTTGCCTTCAATTTATGTGCTTATTTAATAAAAAGGTTTTTAGCTTGTTTCATGATTTAGAAAAAATAAATCAAAATGAGAAAAAACACAACATTTATCAACAGTTGTACTCTTAAAAAATTCTGGTCATAGTTTTGGACAGCACCATATCCCAAGAACAGTAATTTATATGTAAATGTGCCACTTACACCATTACCTATTTTTCCTTTCTTAACACTTGAAATGCACTATACTTAAATATTGCATTTTCTATTGCTATCATCATCTGTTTGTCCTTGTCTTTATGAAAGGTCAGCACAATATGTCCTGCTCTTCAATCCATTTCTATCAGCAGTCATATCTGAACACTACTATATCAACTAAATTGTTATTTCTCCATTACTCTTGCTCACATAAACTACTCTCTTATAAAATTAATTGTTTCTGAGACTATCTGGATCACAGACTTGGGGAGACAGGTACATTTTTAAAATTAGTTTTTCGCTGTAAGTAAGGAAATTATATCATGTCATGGGTATTTTCAAATAAATCTACCTGAAGGATGAATAACCTTGTGAATTGACCTAACTGCTTGTACCATAAAAATACTATTATGCATAGAGAAATCCAGTGTCTGTTTACTCTGTTTCAATTATTCACTGTTGTAACTACCTAATGTGCACCTTGGCCACTGATAGTCTTAACCATGGTTAATACTGCATCATTTCAATGCAGTCCTACATTTATTGTTAAAGTGTGATATGTTTGATCTTTTTCCCACATAATGTATTTTTTTAAACATCCATCCGTTCACATGTCGCATTATATTCGCCACATTGTTTGCGTAAGTGCGTTCTGAATTGCGATGCATGTGGTTTGCGAAACGCGGCTTGTAACGCAAGACGTGCATCGTGTAGGGTGGCCATGATTAAACAATGCGGAACTAAAAATGTTGGCTAACCCTGTATACATTACTTTGGGACGTAAAATCTCCTAAATATCTTTGGGTGGTTTAAATATATCCTTCAACCTATAAAATAATTTGCAACAACGTAATTCCGACCGTTTGTCCTGGTTTCTAGTATGGGTTAAAGGTTAATGGATTTTTGTGTCTAGCTGAATATTTTAGCCACATTGATTTTTTATGTTTCTATTCAACCCCCTCACTCTCATGACTGATAAACACTTTCATCAGACGGGATCGTGGTAAAGCGCTAGCTTAACGAAACTAAAAAATAAATAAATATTATGTGGATAAAAATGAGGAATGCAATTTGGTCTCCAATTTTTTTTTAACAAGTTGTAAATTACATAATTTTGTTTTTCAAACAAAATCAGTTCAGTCGTTTAGGGTACAGAAAGTCATGGAATGGATGTACAATTGGGATATCTGGCAGTATTCTACAATAAAGGCTACAGTTGGTCGAAAGTTTTATGCACACTAAGACGTTGCAGAAAAAAAAAACTTCGTTCAGTAGTAGACGGCTAATTGCTTTTTAATTATTCCGTCGTTACTACTTAAATGATTACTTTTAAAAACTTTGTTTCTGCAAGAAAGAAGGTAAATTTTATAAGTAACACGCCGCAGATTTACGCAACTGTACGTAGCATACATAGTTACAATTCAATTGCTAAAGTAAAATAGAATTTAAATTTGGAATACAAAGCGATATAATATTGCCAAATCGCTGCTAATCAAAAATCGTTTTATAAGATCTAGCCTAACATAACAATGTTTTTGATAAGCGTCATCAGGTCACGGCCTATCAGATCTTGGCAACGATTACGATTGCACGTGGATTTGCAGTGTTGCATAGAGTTCGTCCGCACTCAAATTGCACGAAGAAGCTTGTTACTATGTTCATTACTATTCATATATTTTAATAGATTTTGAATTCTACTTACGATTGATTACTGGTTGTTAGTCACTTAGACATGTTATTTCAAATGCAGCTCTTAGTTAAAAAAATACTCTATACTATAATAATATTATAAAGAGAAAAAAATTGTATTTTTGTATGTATTGAAATAAATCAAAAACTACTGGACCGATATCAAAAAATCTTGTACCATTAAAAAGCAATATATTTTTTTTAATTGAAGTCGGTCGGCGAAGTCACGAACAACAGCTATCACAAAAAGTCTTATCCTACACAAACCACAAATAGGTAATGCTTAACAAAGATTTAGTATATTAATTACACACTAAGTGACTGTTTTATGACCTTTAGTGTTATTTTGGCTGTACGTTGTTATGACGTCAATTGGTATTAATTGTTGAAAGTAATCCGTAGAAAGTATTTCCGAAATTTGTTATTGTACAGTCACGTGCAAATTGAATGGAGACATTTTTAAAAGATACATTCCCTCCTAAATGCAATATTAAGCGTACAATCACAATGGAATGAAGGAATGAGTGAATGGAAGAATAAATGATGAATGAATTGCAACTGATAGATGAATGGGCCGTCTCGACTCGATATATGAAAGCGAATTGTTAACTTGACCGATTTTGAGGATTGAAATAATTTGAATTGTGTCTCCTATTGTAGAGATTTAGTTCAGTCAATAAAGTTCCTTGGTTTTGTTTAATATTGATTCTTTGATACTAGTGTTTCGATTAAACAGTGAATAGCGCATATGTTACACTATAATGTTACACTCTTTTATGTTTGTGGTTTTGTCCGCGAGTGTACCACTGTCGTAATTTGCACTGATATTGATAATGTCGATTATCCTATTATTTGGTCGTTGT